TAATTAGAATGGTAGTAGTAATAGACAAGACAATACTTATAAGATAGGAAGTGGCAAAAGTCCCTTTTCCAATACGCAAACGGACAGACATCTCGGCGTAACGTGATACCGTGGTAAACTAGGAGCATTTCATTCCAGTTTCACTGTCATAACTCATTGTTTATAACTAAACATAACTTACAAAGTAAGTCGTTTTGTGCTTGAAATAAGTGAGACAGTTGTGGTCAACTTTGCTCAAAGTCTAAATCGGCTGTTTCGTACTTCTAAAATGAAATTTTAAAGGGCATTGTGTGGTAAAGCCACCAGACTACATTTATTACTCTTACTCAAAAGAGGGGTTGTTAATACGATTGATATAGGGGTGTGTAATTGTGTTTTCCTCTATAACACTGAGGAGTGTTCTTGAATGACTGTTTTAATTTTATGGAGTTCATTTTTTTAACGACATAACTGTTCACATTTATAAATAAATTGTACAATAAATATAGTTTTTTAACACACTAGAAGAAAGAGGCACTACAGAAGTAAGAAAATAGAAGTAGAAGTAAGTAAATTAATAGCATTGTGAATGTGTGAATCTATTTTTAAATAGAACCAACCAACAAATTATTTAGTACATATTTCAAAAGGTTTCGGTCGTGGTCGGTGTTTCATTGAACTACATTTAATCATAGAGGGAAGGCCTTTGGTCAGTAGTGGAACTTCATTATTAAAAATATTTTTATTAAAATTACCCAGACTGCATAGAATATTTTTTATAAGAGTTAGTATATGAAAATGACACACACACTCATAGACTTAAAGACATTCGCTCAAAGACAATTTTTATAAATCGAAGGCGACGATTATTGCTTTGTGCAAATTTTACTATTGCACCAACCATGGTAATTTTTAATGTATAAAACTACTTTATTTTATTCTTGTAATAAACATGTAAAATTTCTGTAGGATTGGTAGTTGATAAAATCTAACATAGAGTTTTCCAAAGATTGATATGGCGGATGATATGGTGATTGTGAAATCAGATTTTAAAAGTGACATACACTAAAACTTTTCATATTCTTTTTGCTAAAATTTTGTTAAGATATCTGCCATCATTGGTCGCAAGTGAGATGCCGTATGGTTTGGGATAGGCAGTTTTTTCAGATACATGTTCATATTTATAATGCAAGTTTTGAGTAATAATTTCAATTTTATTATATATATTTCTAAATTATATTATTGAATATTTATTTCAGATTATGTGAGTCATAATAGGCATTTATTTTTAGTTATATAGTATATATATTTGTAGTAATATTTAAGACTCTACTATAAGTAAAAAATGCACTATTATTTATAGACAACAATTAATTTGTGGTCAATGGAAAATCAATATCAGAATTGTTCAAATTAGTATGTTTTGGAGTTTATCTTTTCAGGTATAATGAAATTTCTGATGCACTTGGGCCACCTTGTCACGGGCAGACATTTGCCATAACAACCATGAACAGTAAAACAACACTTTTAAGGGGATCGTGAAATGTTTTAATGTCCGCACGGTCAAGATTTAAAGGTGCGGGAGCAGTAATATCCCTCATTTTCGTAGTGGGTATTTGTTCCCGTTATTTTAGTAGGTATAATACCTTTAAACCTTTAACGTTTATAAATCTTAAGAGCAAACAATTGAGGTCATATTACAGTAAGTAAAGTAGTAATTAAGCTTGTCACTAATTAAATTAAGATACCTGTATAAGTGCCTACAAATTAAGTGAAGAGGTTTCATGAGTATTTACTTACCTTATATAAACTAAATAATATTATTAATCCTGTAAATTAAGGATATGATTTTGATATCTACTGATGATATATATATATATATATATAGGAAAAGGATTTTAAAATGTAATAACATTGAAATGTTATTAGAACTTATTGTAGCGTGTTTACTTAACACTTAATATTATTATTTTTTAAGTTTGTTAATTTATTAAATGTTAATAATGATATATTTATTTTTCGTTGGGGGTTAATGTTCATTATAATGAATATATTTAATTATTCATTATAATTCTTATATTATGGACTCATTATAACGACTTATTCTGTAATGGTATAGATAGTATGAAAATAAAGAACACAGGATAAAGTGCAAAAATGATGATGAATGATGAAAATGCATATCATTTAATAAAATTTTAATTATTTAAAAAAATTAATTAAAACACATATCGTCATATTTATATATATTTTAATATATATAGAAATAATCTCTCTCTTTAGAATACTCATAAATATTTCCATCATTCGAAAATCGAACCTGCGGCCATCGGAATTAAAGCGGTGTGCTAAACCGTTAGACCATCGATACGACATACATAGATGATATAGTTATATAGATTAACTCATATATGTATAAAGACCAATAGATATTTTTTTGGAAAGTTTGCAAAAAACACTATTAATGGAAATTAAAACTCTTGTTTTATTCAATTGAAACTGTTTCGTATACATTTCTTTAAATTGCCCCAAGCCAATAAAATATGTAAGTAGAAAAAGTATGCAAGTGTTGAAAACAAATTTTATAGTGGTGTATGTATTTGTATTGAAACTATAAAATATAATAGATAAGGGAACTGCCAATAACTTCATTCCATACCATATGATTTATAATGCAAATAAATTGTTTTTATGACTACAAGTAAAACGTACCGTGAAAATAAACTATGCGTTAAATCAAATTTGTTTCGTAATAATTACTTACTTTTTTATAAATAAAATAATGCGTACATTTAAATTTCTAACAATTATTTTATATGTTTTTAGTTATGAGTCATCTACGGGTGAGTTGTTATGTATACGTTGTTATTATTTTATTTAATTCAGTCGTCTACTATGTTTAGTAATTTGAGTACAAGAATATTTTATTTTATTTCAGCTAAAAATAACAACACTTTGGAGTTTTGGTAACGTATACTCTTAATTAGAAGTTATACTTAAACAATGATTTTTTTATTTTTGCCCAATATTACCAGTACTTTATTCGTGCAAATCTGTAATAGGAGTAAATTAATATAGTCTGTTTAAGGTTTTAATTACAATAGAATTATAATCAATAAGTATTGTAATTATATTTAAAGTATTAGTGTAAGTAAATATACAAAAACGTAAAACTAAATGAATGTTTTAGGGTACCAGACACGAAATATAACAGAAAAACTATGCACACGAAAAAATATGGCAAAGTGGAGAGATTTCACTTTCGGCACAATGGAGAAAAAATAAATAATAAAAGGTAAAAAAATGTTCATATAGTTTGTCATATATATACGGTTTGATTAATAAAACACAGAAGTAAAGACTTTTGGTCAATAACAGTTTTTCTAGAATTTATTTTTGTGTTTCCTATCATAAATTTCTTAAAAGTATATACGTTTATTTCTAATTATTACCTACACCTTATTTTTAAATAGCAATATATCATTAATAATAAATTTAGAGGATTTTGTTCCTATCAGTAAAGAGAATATACTCAGGCAACGAACATCGCGTTATCATTCCATGGAAGCGGATATACATGAGAAATGGCCGAAGGTTCATCAGCACAGGTTTAAGCAAAAACCTAGGAAGCAGCAATTGCGGTATATAAATTTTATATTATTGCTACTTGTGCTTGCGGCTTTGTGCGCTTGTATAATTGTAGACGGCATCATTAAATTGTATTTATTTATTTATTATATATTTCTATGTAGCGGATTTTGAAGCGGTTTTTTTAATAAATATAGTGATTCAAAAGAAAGGTTTATGTGTATAATACATGTACACCCGTGTCACAAGCGTGTCCGTACGTCCGCCGTGTCAAGCCGGGGTTGGTAGCTAGTTTACAATAAACAAATGACATTAAATATAAATATATGTACAACGCCATATTATTTCATAAATAAAAGAATTAATGAAATCGTTGGTGGCTTATTGAAATATATTTGAAAATATTATTATTTCTTCTTTTGGAGGATGTGTGTCTTAGCTGTGTTTGGCTAACCAACGGAGATCTATTTATTGTGGAGGATATTTTTAGTCGCAATGGTATTTATCTTAAGGTTGTGTTACACACACAACGGAGGAAGAGATAAAAACCATCGCGACCATAAATAAAATATCTCTTTTAGAATGATTTCTAAAGGAGATATAATATATGAGCGAGCTACAACCACACAGGACGTGTAGTGACGTTTCCTCTTCATTTTGACAAAATCTGCAAATATTTGTTAAGCAGAGGCCTAAGTTTGCCATGTCTTTATTTAATGTACAGTGTTCAGTGAGGGCCCTTTCACAGTCATGACACATATATTGTTTTTACTCAATAGCGTCAGTCTTTTATTAGTATATGTAGTGTAAGCGAAGGGCTTATGTGAATTTTAATCAATTTAAGATGATGCTTAATATAAATACACCTAGGGTCCATAATACCTATTAATTTACCTTCGACTAATTTAATTTACAGATCGACTAGAATGACTGTTGTAAATAAGTTACAGTATACAGAAAAGAACAATAAGTAAGTACAAGAGTGATAGTCATATCTCTCTTAGTTTATTTATATTATAGTTAGTAAATATGCCTCGTAGGCTAAGTTAGTAGTGTATATAAATAACTAGCGACCCATCCCGATTGCTTTCAAAATAAAATAGATATACATATACTATACATTCAGTTCATATACTTACACTCCTCTTTAGAGGCATTGGAATCGTAATAGTGCATCGGTGTCCAGTGCACCTGGAGGGGAAAATTTCTGTTATACCATTTTTGAATCTAGCGGCGCTTTCCTTAATCTGAATAGTACTGAGATTTTTTTAGTATTATTACTTAAAAGTATCAGTGGAGGGTTCCGTAATATTTCACATCCACTACTGTACCTTGGGAGCGACAAGATTCTAAACGCATTGTTTTGTACACAAAGAGCGTCGTTATTATAAATATAGAATTTTAAATACATTATTTTATCCCAAAATGTAAACATGGCTAATGTTCTTTGCAGACATAGTACTGTAAGATTAAATGAAGAAAAAGTAACCTATGAACTCAATCCGTACAACGTAAGTTACAATAATACTTTAACGATATTGTGTTAATTATACGGAGTTAGATTTTAATTATTTCAAAACTTTTACTCGAGCAGCTTGCTTTGTAAGATGTGTTTCCTTTGAAGGAAGCAGTTGAGATAGGGCAGAGAAATCTATAATATTGGTGTTACTATTCCATTTTATATCCATGCCTGCTGACACAAAGCGCCATACATCAGTATAAGAAAAGAAAATCATAAAATAAAACCTAGTCGCATGGCCAGCGTGGTGCTATTAGACTAAATTATTTATTTATATTTGAAACATATTACAAAAGTTGATTGGATATTGAACTAGGCGAATCTTTATCTCGGGAGTCAATAAAAGAATCGCCAGATGTTATTGACTATTATTGGGCTTTACCCGTGTACAATAGTGATATGTCAATATAGTGGTATAATAACGAATTTAATAATACAAACATACATTTTCAGATATTAAATCAAATGGAACGATTAAGATCGATGTCCCCAAATGCAAATATCACAATTGAAGTCATTGGTCGAACGATTGAATACAAAGATATAGTACTCCTTAAAATAACAAAAGCAAAGAGCGATGTAGGGAAATACTATCGAGCTACTGACAGCAAATATGTGGATGAAATCCCGGAAAAAAAAATTATATTCATAGTCCACGGACTCGCCGTAATGGGAATTCATGATATTTATTGTTTGAGCAATGAGAATAAATTTAGGCAACTTGTATCCTACTATTTATCACATTTGGACAAATTCGATATCTTCCTAATACCGATGGCTAATCCGGATGGATATTCTTTACACGTAGGTGTTACTAATTATTATTAGTAAAGTGTGACTTGGGCATATGTTCTCTGTTTGCTTTGTTAAAATTGAGACTAGATAACTTTGTGTCAATTGTCCTGGGTAATTATTATTTATATTTTGTAGTTCAGTAGGTAAGTTCGTTGATTAGTTTGTGTGAATATGGCGAACGTACAGACAGAGGTGACGAGGTACCATCTGGTGGTAAGCAGTAACCGTCACGTATGTACATAACCTAACATAATAGCACTAATAATAATAATAGTAGCACTATGGCCATCATGTTATCATGTGAGACCCCTAATATAACTCTAAAGACTAAAATCACTGCAGAGCTTCAAATTAGGTATCAAAAACCACTATTTACGTAAGTTATCGTAATAGTAGTATTACGGTCGTATGTATGTGTGATTGTATATATATTCATATATATGTATGTATATGTAAGTTTATTATATTATTTTGTATTGTATTATGTTATATGTATATTTATAACATTTCTTCCAATATTGTTATCATAATTACACCTCTACCAGACCAGCTTTTTAGCGATAAGGCCGCCCATTGTTACCTCTTTGTCTCGTTTATTGTATTTTTTTTTATCATTTTATACATAATTGTATTTTCTGTGAGAGGAACAATAAAGAGTTTTATTCATTCATAACTCATGCGTTGATATTGGAATGGCAACGCATAGGGATCTCATATATTTATATAGTCATTTTTAGAAAATTATTTCATCATCGTGTCATGCAATATAATAGTTTTCACAATTTGATTTATGTATTTAAAAGATTGTGGAGTTTTGATAACATACTACGTTTTATACTTACTTGTTTGTGTATGGTCCAATGATTCTCGTGGCGATAATAATTCACTGAAAATTAACAAATGTAACGAATTGTAAGACCACTAATTTACCTAATGGTTATTAAGATTAATTGCACCATATTTCTAAGTGAGATTAATTACAATTACATTAGTACTGCATTAGCTGGAAATTAGAAATTGGTTATATAATGTAATATCACAAGTTATTCATATCTACTAATATTTAAATACGTACATATGTTCTTTTCACGACTACGTGAATGCTTAAAATTTGACGTGAACTACCTTTCATCTCGAAAAAAGCAGACAAATTTGCGGATAACGGCTAGTAAAATCTATATTAAAATATCGACAAACGAGACATATGCCAGGTTAAGACAACCACATTGATAGTTGTGGGTTCGGTCCACGTTCAATAGTAATATGCTTATTTGTATTGGATTTGGACCTAGAGGTTTTACTTGTAATATGTCAGAATTTAAAATAAAAAACAGATAACTAAGGCTCCGCTCATTTTGGGACAACCATTTAACAATGCGCGAAATATCTCCGAATTATGAAAAAGAATCGCCATTATATAACTAATTTACATGGCAAACTAACTAAGACTACATGATAAAGAAAGAGACTTCACTTTTTTTATTAAATATATAATACTATTTTTTGCCGTAGTCGTCAGAACCAAATTGGAATAAAAACTCTTCTCCATTGTCTCCTTGCTTGGGAGTAGCTCTTGACCGAAACTTCGACGTGGCCTGGAATACCTCCCATGGGATCAGTACGTGTAGTCCGCATTACCCTGGGTCTGAGCCGTTTTCAGAAGCTGAGACTCGAGCAATACGGGATGTATTTCATCGGTACAGTCATAAGATCATTGCATACATTAATGTACATGGAGGTTCATTTAACCATGAGATTTTTAAGGTATGTCTTACAAACACAATATATTTTTTTTATGTAACAAGCTGATGCGAAGTAATCACTCATAAATTCAACCAAGCAGTAACTGTCATCTATACACATGAGCTAACATAATGGTAGTACAGATATCACGTTATCATATCATATTATACCCCTAAACCACTCATGCATTGCCTTTTCAGAAAAATAAGTTGTCTCTGTTCTCTTATATTGTAATTTAACTGCTTAATCTGTATTCTACAACCAAAAGACAGCTTACAAAGCAAGCTGCGCAGACGACTTTTTGCAGTATTCTTTTTTGTATAACATCTCATTCATACTAATATTATAAATCGAAAGTATGTCTGTTTCCACTTTATGAATATCTAAAAAACAGATGATGTTATGTTATAGTCATGAATACGTTCGAAATTGAATTAAATTCTATTAATATTTTGTAAAGGGTGATGCAGTACTATACCCAAAAGGATATACAGACGTTCAGTCAGATGACGATAAATATATAGATCTGAGAGGTGAAATTGATGAAGCTATAAGAAATGCAAGCTTCAAGATCATGTCAGTAACTGTGGACTCATTGAATAACTGGTATGGAAAGATACAAGGTTCCAGCGTTGATTATGCATCAACGGTACGTATATTATTTAGTTAAAAAAAAATGTCATATGATCTTGAGTAACGTGGCAGTGTAAACATTCAGGCGGTATTGGTGACCTGGCGGTTTAGTAGCAGATTCGATTTGTAGCATTTATATTCATAAGTCCGATGTTGAAATCTGTGTGTTTTCTATATAAATTATACAAGCTAAATGATTTCAGTATTTCTATCAGTTGTCTAGTAACCCATAACACATATTCTGTTTAGCTTGGGACTAGACTTGTCCAAGGTTAGGTTAAATTTTGTATGTTTAATAATATAATTATCGCTTTTCAAGTTTATTATTACTTTATGTTTTAGTATATGATTACTTTATATTAGACCTTTTGATAAAAAGGTACCAGTATAGGTACCAGTTATAGTTAATACTGCGATGATATTGGGGCAATATATCTATTTTTTGCTCATCTGCCATAAAGCGGTGTATTTCAACAACTATAAAGGTTATACCATAGATAATAGAAATACACAATTCGGGGATTCAAAATTATTGAAATTGGAGTGAGCTTTGATTTATAAACAAAAAAATTACCCAAAATGTTTATTTATATTTGCAGGTGTATGGTATCCCTTATGCTCTAGAATTTGTAATGCAACCATACAGTTATGAAACGTCTAATGCAGCTTTAGTTGAAATTTGGAAACGTCTGATCGATGTTGTTTTCATTAATATATGGAAAAGTATACACAATAATGATGTTTAATTATTTATTATTAAAGATTTTAAATTCAATATTGTGTTAATTTGATAAATCAGATAAATATATGTTAATAAACAGTATGAGATTTGAGTATAGAAATGTAATAATTATATATGTCTTCTTATTTCATAATTGTGGCAAATATATAACTGTAAATTTTACAAGTAATGTACAATTATACATTAGGTACTTAAAGAAGAAATTTAAGTAAATACTAAATAAGAATAAACTACTAATCGTTTCCACATTAGATACTTAAAGAAGAAATCTAATTAAACACTACCATACACTACTGATCGTATTATAATCATCAGATTACTGTAGTCCACTGCAGGGTAGGCCTCTCCCGAAGCATACCATTAGGTGACCCTTTTCTGTAAACCATGTTCTAGTACATGCGTACTAAGGTGGACTTTGTGGAAAAAATCTTTTGAGTAGGTACCTCAGTCTCATCTGCTTCAGCCACGATATCAGGAGCCTGTTTTGTGACCTATAATTTCAAGTGAAGGGCAGTGAAATTACAGGATATGGAAACATAATAGTTTAATCCTATGTAATGATAATGGATAATATCAATAACGTCACTTGATGAGGTGATCTCAGTGGTGCTGTTAATGTACTCGTATATAGGCGGCTGTTACCACTTACCATCAAATGGGCCTTCAACTAGTTAGCTATTTCAATTATATTTCGTTGCTTCATTCAAAAATATATTGTATCTACATGGTAAAATTCATAACGTCGAAGTGACTCATATAATAATTATCAAACTTCAGTTTGAAGTTCGTGTAATACAAGATATTGTATATATACAAGAAAAATATAGGACTCTCCAGTACCGATTAAAAAAAATAATTTATATCTATGTTGTCACAATTATATACTCAGCCACGAAATACCAACGAATAAAAACATTTACAACTATAGGTACTCAATTGATAAAGGATAGAATATTTGGCAAATATTATGGTGGCACTTTCTCTGTGTTTATAACACGTGCGTCATCGGTTATTGGCACTGCGCACAGTCTACTTAGCATTGCTACCCTAGAAACATGATCGCAGTTTCTAGCATGCACTACTTGGTTATTACTACATGTTGAAATTCCGCACCGTAAAAAACCACCGATGTATCATTAATTCACCGATTTAATTCCAACGCACGTGTAAAATGCAAGTGTGTCAACACACGTTTTGTCCAGTAACTGGTTGTGCATACAAAAGGAGTTAGGTATAAGAGAGAATAAAGAAAGTGAACGCATCGTTTCTGTCGTCTATATTATGTTATTTTAATTGCATATATGATTTACGTACTCTTATGCTCCATTTTTCTTATATATAAGAGCCTATCCGTTCTCGTCCAATCTTCATATCGAATATTAAGAAAAGTTAAGTTAGTGGAGAAAAGGTAACAAACTACTGACACATTGGTTGTAGAATAACAAGAATAATCCATCACATTTAAAATTAGTATTATTGTTGCCAAGTAAGCCAAGTACAAAGACAACATTGTTAAATATGACTTATGTGCAACTGTGATGAAAACAAGACTAAATTGTACTTACTATTATATTTTATATTACTACTACTATATTCACTGAATATCTCCATCATAAACAGATAGACACATTTTCGTATTAATACTTACTAGTTTTAACTAGAGTCGTAGTCTGCTTTATCTTAAATAAATGATAACCTATATCTGTTTTTGAAATCCCAACTAGCATTGATGATATTATATTAAGATAAGATACATATCAAATTTCATTAAGATTCGTTCAGTTATACTTATTTTGGTTTGGTTTTATAGGTAAAAACACACAACAACACTTTCGAAATAAAAATTACTTGATGTACTGACGACTTCGACTGCTTTTTCCAAGAAAATAATACCCCATATTTGTTTTCGTGATACAATCTAAAATATATTGTATATATATATATATATACATTTCAATAAGATTCATTCTCCCGCTTGTCCCTTTAAAAATAACAGACTGACTAATGAACATTCATGTATGTATTAAAAATTCTATATTTTTTCACAATATTTCCGTTACCATTTGTGTTTGAATGGACAAAATTCATTAATACCATGAACGTGATTGTTGAGTTGAGAGTTGAGCACTATTTTAAATCCATTACAAGCGGGACTAATACCGTGTACGTGTCTATGGTCGCCATCGCCGAAAATCGGTCGGATACAGCATTACGTGTCTATACAAGTAAATCCAAAGCGATTCAGAAAACAATACCCGTATATTTTTAAACTTTTTCCACAGTTATTTATTATTCTGCAGCATACAGAATATTTATCATATTATGTTATGGGTAAATATTCCAAGCATAACACACATAAATATGTATGTTATGCTTGGTCTGCTGCGACAGAAACAAAGTAACGGGCTCATTTCAGTGATTTTTTTTTAATTTCTCGCTATGAACGCAACTGTATATAACTGCAACACCAAATACCATTGGAAATTCTCACAAAAATTGGAAAAGTCTATATGTAGAATATATGTTTATGTGTAGTAAGACAAAATCATTTAGTGTAAGTTGTAACAAAAATTGGCTACGTAACACCAACCAAGTGTAGTAAGATCCCGTGATTTTCCACAATTATTATACGTATAAATTTTAATGACCATCTTAAATGCATTAATCGGAAACGAAACAAGCACAAAACAACATTAATACAAAAGCCGCGTTAAATCAGATAATGGACTCTTCCCGCTATATCGAACACCACAATGCCGTTCCGTTACCGATGCGTAGGAGTTACCATCAGTGTCATCGTGGTTCATTAACCGAACTGCTTTTGATTGTTCAACTGAGTTCTTGCTCGCTCCTCCGCTACTCACAATCGAAATCAAGTTGAAATCATGTTTGTTGTCCTACATTCGTTTACGGTTTCGCACTTTAGACATTTCATTTTAATGCTTGATAATGTTTAGATAGATTCGTGCCTTTTTATGGATTCCTTCGTTCATGTTTGCTATCCGGAGATGCGCGATGTAAATTTTGACTAACGTTCCGATTGCCAAGTACCTATGATATGATAATAAAAATATCTAGAAAGTTGATGTTTAAACCACATAGCTATTATATAAATACTCTAAATTATATTTAGTAAGTATTTAATGAAATATATCTGTCTCTATGTGTGTTTATTTACCGGTTTCTTACCATTTCACAACCAAACAATTTCCACGTGTCTTAACAGAATTTGGCTTGTAGATTGCTATTACGAGGACGGATGCAAGCTATTTTTAATCTAAAAAAACAGCTGAAATACATGCTAGTAGGTATAATAGAAATATGATCAGACAATGTAATTAGACTAGACCAGATAAAACAGTTCAGTTTATAAAATGTAACAACTAATAAATGAAAAAGCTTTTTATACTTGTACCAATTTTTAAATAATTTTGACAGTCAAAAATGTTCTTGAAAGTATGAAAATTAAAGTCAAAATCGTAACTCAATTTACCAGTATGCATTGCATACCGTTAATTAGGTTCATTATAAGCCCTGACGCATACCGGTCGCGGCCAGTCGCAGTCTATATAGAGCTATTTATTTTTAATATTAACTACCAAATGTATAAGTACAATATATAAGAAAATATTCCGTGTTCCACAACCAAAAAATAATCATTATTGCTTCGCTGTCCTTCAGTGTACAAGTAATTACTACGTTATGAGAGTACACACTTTTCTAAAAACACCGAATCAAATTATGTCAGAATTACCTAAAAAATATTTAGAAAATAGACCTTAATGCCTTACCTAACCTTAATCTTAACCTTAAAGATACTTTAAAAATTTTAGACACCATTTCTATACATTTATCTTTCTGTATGCAATGTTTACAGGCTGCTTTATTTTGTGAGAAAACTTGGAATATAAATAGAATCGACAAACATTCCACATATATTTTTTATTAATATTCATTAATTTAACAACTATTATAATACCTATTACCATATCTATATTTAGAAATACGAATGAGACCAGATAAACGTAAATTTTATTTAATTTTTACTGCCCATTCTATTTCTTTATAGTACTATTTTAGTATTTACTATTTAAGTAAGCAAACGACAATGCAAATTTGGACGAAAAAACAGATTGCCTCTGTTTATCCTTAATAAATAGATTGTAATCATATTATAGAGTAATAAACTCTATAATATGATTACAATCTTTACAATATTTATATCGATTACATTCCTCTCGGTGGAATTTGGTAACAGTATAAAAAAAATATGTGGTTATATTTATCACTTTAAATTCGCAAAATACTTACACAATGTCGTTTATGCTATTCCATATTTTTTTAAATATGGTTTTTAAATTGTTTTTTTTTTATTAAGTATTTTTGGTGTCACCAGTGTTGTCACACATGTATGTCAAAAATACGGCTTTACATGAACCGTAATACGATTATCTTCGTATAATAGTTTAATTAGCCTCTCACTTTGAGAGCAAATTAATAATGGACGTAACATTTTCATCAGCGAGTCACACAAAGCGAATCCTATTAAGGCTCGTGTAAAGCCATTTTTATTCCCTCTGATTAAGTTTTGGTATCGAATCAGTATTGCCACTATCGACTCCTGCTTTATTTTGTAGCACTATTTTTAATCTAATCCAATTAAAAAATTTAATTTTATATTAAGGATATAACTGAAGAGTACGATTAAAAAGATGTGTTTGTGTTTCTCACTGTGATCTATGTTTAATACATTTAAAATTAATAATAAATGATATGACCGTGTTAACAGAAAGAAAATAAGTTTTTATTTATTTTTAATTACAATTATTTTATGGCTTTTGTATAAAAAGAGGTTTCATGTGCTAACAAGATGGATGATCTCTGTGAAATATGCAAAAGGAGAGTAAATGCATGTAAAGGTCCGATAGAGACGAGTGGCAAGATACATGAATAGATAGACAAAATGTTTATTAATCTGAGAACTATTTGAGATTACCTTCTATACTCACCATAACAAATGTATCTAATAAAAAAGCAATGATAAAACAATATGATTTATTTTCAGTATGATGGTAAAAAATCTTGATACTGCAATGAAATGCAGATTTAGAGCTCAAATTGGAAGAATCACGGCGTCTGTCTTCTACTTGTCTGCAACGCATTGCGCGATACTTCGGACACGTTGCGCGGAGGAGTGTAGACAATATGGAGAGACTAATGGTAACAGGGAAGATAGAGGGTAAAAGACCTCGAGGCCGATGGTCAGACCAGGTATCCCGTCAACTAAACATTACTGTCAGCGCCGTACTACACCAGGTGTCTGAGCGCAACCGATGGCGATGAAGAAGAAAATCACACAATGCAGTCTTGAGGTGATAATTTTATATCAGCATTTTTATTTTCCATTTATCAATATTAAACTAATGGTCTATTGTAAATTTACAAATGCAAATCGATTATTACAATATTTTTATAATTTTACGAACGATTAACTTACACGTACGGAGGGAAGGAATTTGCCATTGCTAGGAATCTACCAAGCCAGGTTAACCTTCACGCGGTACCACTGGAAACCATCGTGCTAAAAGCCATTTCCCATGCTAACTGACCTGACTTCGTGCTTATTTTATCATCCAACACTGATGTCCCGCAAATTTAATCCGATAGTGCAGGCGAGTTCATAATTCCATTATTATCCATAAAAAACTCATACGCACCTTTTACCTATAATAATTATGTAGATTTTTTAAGTAAGCAACTGTAAAAGTTTAAGACACGTTTTGTTACTCGCTCGTCCTTGTGCACGTAATTGGGGTGGATGAGTACCGTTATGGTACGAGATTCCCCGGTGGCCTGGATGCGGCGCATGCGCAGTCCGCAGTGCGCAACGAACTTTGAGATCGCGCGTACCGGTTCGCGCGATTTCACTCTCGCGCATGTTGCACGCACGAAATACTTTTATACTTGTTTATTGATTACTTTAAATTTTATATAGGTTGCAAGTTTTGATTGAGTAGTATGGCGCGATTGTCAGTGCTAGTGTTCGGTGAGAGTCAATTTTTATTTTTTTGTAATGTTTTGTGGGTGTTGTGTATTTATAAGTAGCGGCAATTACATAGTAAAATAATTTATTTACTTATTTGTACTGAGAAATATGTAAAGTATTACCACTGCAAACCCTATGGGGTTAGGTACATATATTATGATAATAAAGAATTTCATGTCATGGTAGAAATTATTTTAAAACATCGTGCCTAAGTTACTTGCTCATACAAAAAACAACAAATAGACAACGACACGACAAGGAATATATGCATTATTTATGGATATTTTACTTAAAAACAATTATGGTAATAGGGACATCAATTTTCATCATTTTTGTAATTAATTCCATACTATATACTATAGGAATTACATAGCAACCTATATATATATATATATATATATACATGGAAAATCGACCAATAGATGGTTGTGTGAAGATAATATCTAAGTATAACAAAAGCGTAAGAAGTAATAGGAAGCCTGATGCAGATCAATAAAAGAAGAGATACTGATCCGAACTCGGATAAAGATGAGCTAATAATGTTTATTATTTTGAGCTAGAATATATCTACTGATACTGAAATATTTTGTCTACTGACGTAATAATATCTTCTTATGATAAACTTTATCCCGAAGTCTGGATTGTGCTTAAGTGCTGGATCTTACAGCTTGTCTATGCATAAAGAATACTTCCTATATGCAATTCCTAGGTCTCTGCAGCTTGGAACAGCTAATCTGTTGAATTCCAGTATTCACAGTCAACACATGTTATGACTGTGATTTTGGATAAAGTTTTAAAGGAATCTGGTATAGTAAATGCCTTTATATGGATATGTGAGGTATATTTACAACTGTGGAGTTTGAGACACGAGTCTGTATTTTTCAGAATTATTTGTTCACACCTCCCATTTTAAATGTATAAAAATGACATATAAATAAATTTTAAGGGTATTTTGTCACTTTCGCCCGAATTAAGAAAAAATGTTGAAGAAATGGGAACTTTGTAACGCTGTAACGAATGAGAGGGGTATTATTTATAGCCACCACAGCCTTATATCATTACATTTGACTTCATCCACTCTTGTATTTAGTCATATACTAGAAAATAAATCCTTACCAATATTATAGACACAAAAGTTTGGATATACGGTGTGTAGGGATGCCTGTTAATCTCTTACGCAAAAATTATCTACTGAATAGATTTTAATGAAACATTAGAATAATATCATCAGAATAACACATAGTCTATAATTTAATCATAAAACATTGTGTGAATTGTTCATACCGATATGTCAAGGAAGTAGGAAAAAGTCTGCCATCTGCCAGTTAATCTGGCAAGTGTCTGTTACGCCTTCACGGCTAAACCGCAGAATCAATATTGGAGAAGAAAATAGGAATCCTGCGCAGACGAACACGCGGATACCAGCTAGTCTCGATATAAAATCCTATACCCAGCCATATGGCCTATTTCTTGTAGCGTGGGATCTATACATAGTTTATGAATTGTTTTGGTATTTCCGGGGTCCTCAATTCTTCCTATAACAAGAATTTATGTATGTATGTTTATTTTTGTTGTGCCAACCATTATCACCCGTATAATATTGCTCACAATACATTACCATAATTACGTATTATTACAACAAGCAAATACTCTAAATTATTGTATGAACACTTTCTATTTTCACATATTACCTGATGCAATTTCCGTTAATACTTTGTAGAATAATTGAGTGCAAATTATGTGTCAATACGTTTTATTTATATACAACCGCGTGTAAATCATGCAATAATAAGTAAATACTGGTGGCTAGTCTGTCATTCGGTCATTTTCACACATTTATCAATTAAGAAGTGGTTCCGCAACTACATAAGCATGTACAATATTTATAGGGCGCCATTTATTTATTTATGTATGTTGCATTGTTCAACTATTATATATATATAACATTGTGCAATGCAACTTAAACAACTGTAAAATGTAGTAAAATACTAGTGAATTCACACCATAACATGCACCTTGTTAGTTAGGTATATCTTACAAATATTCATCAACTCCGTAATATGCTTTGTATAGCAAGCAACATGCTAGCAAATTTATTTTATTTCCACTTTTTTATCTACTTATTAATTTTACTCATTTTCCATTTTATTTCTAATAAATACTGTGGCAATATAACCAAGTGAGTCAAAGTAATTAGGTATATACTTAAGATGCTTCCAGATATATTACTAATAATTTATAACATTTCCCAAACACTAAGAACCATTAAATGAAGCTGAAGAAATAATATTTGATGAAAGAGATTTTAATATAGAATACATTTAATTTGTAGCAAAAATATTCCGATTTTAATAAATTAAAATTATCGGGGGATTCAGCCGGCGATCAAAGAGGGCGCCTAATAACATCAATTGGTATGAAATTGGTCCACTGAAGCCAGATCGGGACGCTGTAAAGAGAGCTCAATTACTTGAAGCCAAACAGGAATGTCGCCACAAATTAAAGAAACGTACCACGCAAATGATATTCTGCTCTCTGAAATTCTACAGAGATGAGAAGCGAAGAAAAGTAGAACTATAATTATGTAGTATTACGTACAACGTACATTTATATAAGACTTCTTACGTGTGTACATTTGTGAAGAGCCTATTAATGATTAAAACTGTAAAAATAAATAATGAATTAATTAATAAAAACTGTAGTTGACGTGTAGAAAATTTTCATATTAATGATACATTGCGTTATTTAGAGAATTATTATTATAAACTTTGTTTATCACATATATAATCATTATAAGCACAGAAATACACATAGTTGTGTGAAATTGCTTTATTTTTGTTATTGTTATGTCATGTATCGATCATATATTTTATTATTTTGTTAGAACTACAAATAATTTAATAGTAATTTGAAAAAGAATACAAATGTATTAGATATATGTATACCGCAAAGTAGATTTACAACTACTATAATGTTATTAATGTACAGATCTATAGGCAGCATTTCTTTTTAACATTGTCATTTAAAAAAATTACTGATTTCATTTTCTTCATCAGCCTTTCAGTGTAATAAGAAGGTATTCAACTGTACAAGGACTCAAAAGTATATTTCTTATTAAATTTATTTACAGGTATAGTTGGATTATGGACACAAGTCTGCTGTCTGGAAAATGATAAGTACGATGAGTATGTAATAGAGTTATTATTTTTTAAATAGTAAAGTAAAATCAGAAATAATTACATAAAAAAATAGAAATGAAATCACAAAGTAATACTTTAAAGTTGTAGAAATTATAAGCTACAAAAATACACTTGCTAATTATTCTTATTGACATTAACTTTTTTTAAATGTTCGATTATTATTATTAAATTACAATTACTGAAGAGTGAAATTAGATTTTTACATTTCAAAGTAAGCTATTTTTTATAACATACGCTGCGTATGTTATTTGAGACTTGACTTGTTCCTAGAGATTAATCTCTGTTTAAGATTAAGTTCTGTTTGCAGTAGACTTATTTTTACGGTTAACCGTAAAAATAAGTCTACTGCAAACAGAACATTTTTATTCATTATCTTTTGCATACAATTTAAATTTACAGATATTCACTTATACGTATATATCCCACAAATGGAACACAAGTGGAGACCACCAATCGCTTCCAAGATCCTGAACATTTAATCGAAGTACTGAAGGGGAGTAGAGGAATAAATGATAGCTTGGATTTACTGGTAGCACCGCATCGTATCAACTACGCACGACAGTTCGCGCTTAATAATGATTTACGATTTGAACTAAAACAAAAGGAATATGGCAGGTAATTTGTATTTATATGTTATATTTTATGTCAAAACAGCTGTTAGAAACAAAATATTTTTTTATTATACTATTATTTTAATTTATACGTATAGATAATTTATTAAATAGTTTAAATATTATTTTAAAATGAGCTATTTTCAAAAGTACCCGTGATACTATACTAATGGTTATATTTTTATAACCATTTTTGTACTTCGAATCTATTTATCTTCTTTAGATCTAAGTATAAAAAAGGAATATAATACTGATAATAAAAATTGATTTACATTTTATTTAATAATTTTAAATTAATCAATTTATTATGTATGTAAATATATATAATTTTAATACATTTATTTGAAGAGGTGTATTTTTCTAATTAATTATTATAGACTTACAAAGTTCTCTGATGACAAATAATACAAGTAAATGTAACTTTATCTAAACTAATATTAGGTATAAAGGTAAAGACATGACTTTTGCTTATAATTAAGGTATTAATAGGAATGATTAAAATCAGAGTTTTAATAATTACATATACAAACTATTACACATATTGAAAATTATATACATTTTTTCATGTTATTTAACCGTTGGTTGGTTGTAATTGTAATTGTAATTTCGCATATACAATATTAGTATTAGTAGTTATATTTATTTTTTTATTCTGTTCTCAACTAGGGCGTTCGAGACGGTAGAACGTGTTCCCAGAAGGAGAGTGCTACGCAGTTTCAGTATCTACGATTACAATTCTTATACAGCAGTCAGTATCAAACTTTTTAATACAAATAAACACTAAGGCAGACTTTATATAAAGTCGTCTGATTGGCGTTTTAACAAGAAAGACAGTGATTTTTACAGGATACTTATTTGGCAACGCATTAGTGGTAAGAACGACGTAACATGATAACGTAATTTCCGTATCACTCTTCATGTATATAGGTAGTGGTTGCACATTATCACCAGGTGGGGGGTCAGATTGTTTGTTAATAATATCTCTGGAATAATACTAATATCTCTACACAATTCACACAGCGCCATTTAGTCCCAAGCTAATAAGAATTTGTGTTGTGAGTACTAGATAACTAACATAACTACACATTTTTTTGTATGTACATACATAAAAAATACCCAGATACTTATGAATGTTTGTACCGTGCGAGGAATCGAACCTGCGACTATTTGCTGTAAAGCAATGTGTTAAACCGCTAGACCACCAAGGCCACAATTAATCAAATGAAACACTCCCCAGATTCAAGACTATTTGGAAACAGTGGCGAGGAGGCATCCCGAATTAGTCACTCTCCAACTACTTGGCAACAGCTATCAGGGTCGGCGGGTGAAGCTCGTCAAGATATCCGCAAATCCTAATACTGGCAATCCCATTGTATTTATTGATGCAGGTATAACACCAAAATTTAAATTATAACTTTCTATACTTTGTAGTTTGAACTAATTGTGATCCTGGGTTTGAATCTCGATTTAAATTTAAATTTAAGACAGAAATGTTTCTAACTTTGTCTGATTGAATAAATTAGGTCTGTAACTAGTTTTTTGGTTCAATATTGTAATTAGAAAAACTTTGCGTATTTTTAAAAAGACAAAAATAATATAAATTTAAATATTAACTTATTTAGAAAAATATTATAAAATTATTTATGAACAGAGATGAAGAAATTATTTTTATTTAAGTAAACGTGTTATGTGAATAAAAATAATTTAGTTTTCATTGTACGCAAGCGATATAGTTAAAAAAATAAATTAAGTCAATTAGGAAAGTGTGGCAGAGAGGTATGTTAGGTTATAATTCAACAAGTACCTTCAATTCCATAATACAATTAATACAACAAGTATCGGGTATATCTAATCCTTAATAAGTATACAGTTGAATACTAATACCCTTATGAGGGCAAGCGAGCAAATTAACAAGTAACTGGTAGATTATTGACTCCTGTAATTGTTAAAATAATATAAATAATAACATAGACATCTCTGAAATATTCTCAAACTATCACACTACGTAAGTCATCAGCCCTAAGCAGGTACGGTAAGATCTTCTTTTGTCCTAGATCAATGAAAGAACAATGCATGCAGCATTATTCTTTCATTACGTATATAGTCAAGATATCCTATAAGATCGACCTTCAGCCGGTCCTTCTCGGAAACTATCATAGATAATTTCAAATAAATTTGCAATGACAGGCTAACTAACATCATGCTCATACCAGGAAAAACCGTTAGTGTAGTCGGGTGCACCATACTAATATAATCCGTACAAAAACTAAGGCGAGGTAGACAAAATTCAGTCAATACTAAAATTAAAACAGGTATACATGCACGAGAATGGGTGGCTCCAGCGATGGCCCTGTACTTGATATACAGACTGACCAATGATCCAGAAGCAAAACAAAACGAGCTGAATGGCGTAGATTGGTACATTCTGCCGGTGGTCAACCCTGATGGATACGAATTCACCAGGTCCAGCAAAGCTGTAAGTAATTTTGAATATAAAATATTATATTATATTATATTATATTATATTATATTATATTATATTATATTATATTATATTATATTATATTATATTATATTATATTATATTATATTATATTATATTATATATTATATTATATTATAATATATTATCTAGACACGCGGCAGCGTGTCAAAGCCGAGTTCAAGAAAGAGAACTGGTGAGCAGCACGGTGTGTAGTATTACACGAACCATTTGGAGCCACTTTTGACCCCCTCAGAACTCAAAAACTCTTTCATATAAACCTGTCAAATTTGGTTCATATATTGAGACTTGCGAGATAAGTATGTGTTCCAAATTTCATAAACATTGTACCTCAAATCCTAAATATAAAATAAATAGGTACTTATGTATGGTTAATTATCGTAGCTTTAGGCGTTGAATATCGGAGCCCTGAGCGAAAGGTTATTAGTTAGTAAGTAACAGTACTTTTAGATTTTTTTTAATCTAAAAGTCTCTTATTAAATCTCTAATTTTACAGGACTTTATCTTTAAGTCTAGAAGATTTTATACTTGGCGCCTAAAGCCTCAATAATATTCAATAAATATTCCATAAGACAATTTCTATTCTTAGAAATAATTTGTTTTAGTATGTCTCAGATGTAAGAGACAAGTGAAATAATCCAATCTTTCATGTTGAACACCGTCTTCACATTTCTCAGAATCGCTTATGGAGGAAGACAAGATCAAAGAGCAATGGCAACTGTTTTGGCGTTGATGGCAACAGAAATTATGGCTTCAAATGGGCCGTCAGCGGGGTGTCAAATAACCCTTGCGACCGAGAAACGTACGCCGGCCCTAAACCCTTTTCTGAACCCGAAACACAAATGGTCAGGAACGTCATGTTAGAAAACGCTAAGAGATTGAAGCTATACATCTCTGTACATTCGTACGGTCAATATTTAGTATACCCTTGGGGCTATACAGGCGATTTTGTCCCTAAAGAATGGAAGAAAATGGATTCCCTTGCAAGAAGTGTCTCAGATGCTGTACAAAGAGCAGGAGGAAAGCCTTTTAGAGTGATGAGTGCTGGGAAGTGGTATCCAGCGGCCGGTGGCAGCGATGACTTCGCTTTTGGTGCTGTGGGTGTCCCATACTCTTACACAATGGAATTAACAGAAGGATACGAGTTTCTATTTCCTGAAAGATTATTGAAAACTGTTTTGCCACAGTTTTATGAAGGTTTTCGTGTATTCGGCGCACAGATTAAGAAGGAGTTCAAAAATTCAAGGTCACCACGAGATTCTGAAAGTGTGTCATCTATTGAAGACTGAGACCAAATTTTGATAACACTGAGTTCTAAATAGGTTTAAAGAAAAGGTTTAATAAAGAAATTTGTGACAAAGTTTATGTTTTCACTTATCTAAACTAAATTTTATCGCTTATTTTCTGACGATAAGAACATTAGAAATCGTAAAACAATACATGTACTATGTGATATGAGAACTTGTTCGACTTGAGCAAATTTAAGAAACAATGCAATTTTATTACTTTATTTTATACATATTATGCACAGGTATGGTTTGTATTTTAAATTATATTATTATATATCTCAAGTAATATATTATCAAATGTGGTATAATGTGTTTCAGCCAATTTCGACTACAATCAAGCTCAAATATGCGGGTTCGTAATTATAATATAACATTTCTTATAGGCAAAGAAAATGAAGTGAGTGAAAATAATAATTGGCATCATTTATGTTTGAAATAATTGGAATTAAAATAAGCATGAAGTGCAAGTTCTTAACTAAGATGTAACTTAGCTAGACTTTTATGTATCGAAATTAATACCATCAATTTTCTGACTTCACTTCTCAGTAATTGTACTAATATGTTAAGTGGGAAAATAGAATCATTTTCTTAGTGATTGTACTAAGACAATTAATTTCACCGTTAAATAGTTTTTTTTCTGATATTCTAGGTACATATTAAATATCTCTATTCAGATTGTTAGATCTAAATTGTTAAACAATGAAAACTAACTTTAATTGTTGAAGAATTTTAAAATGTTATCATAAAATTCATGTGAAGAAGGAAAGAATGTATCATTATTCTAATTCATCGGAAAGATATATTAAGACTAAAATAGCGAGAAACTTAGAAAAACAACATTAACCTCTGATCAGTACAATGTGACAATAATACATAGATTTATTACTACTCCTACTAAAAGAGAGTTTAATAATGCAACAATGTATTCATTTCTATCTATTCCTAATTATTTCAGAATGATTAATTGTACAATGTTATAACTTTGTTGGTTTTAGGTGTAAGATTCTAAGGCATTGTTATAAAGAAATGTTAGACGATCTAAAAGGCGACGACGAAGGTTCATGCATTGAGGACGTTGCTATTGGTGCTAGTACGGTAAACTTCATTTAATTTATATATATTTTATTAATACTAGATTGGCAAAATAAGCAGAAGGTATCATGGTTATATACAAGCAGGGACTTAATGGGCTAATAAGAGTATATAACCAATTAAAGTTTAAATATTTAAAAGTTATACATTATGGTTAAGGATCATAATCGTTTGCAGTAGCCAACAGTTTCGCCTAAGAACTACTGCATTAGCAAGAAGCCCCGCCCCACGAATCGTATGGTACAAAAAAAATTATAATTCTGGGCAACTTATACAGCGACATCTAGTCCTAAATTACACACTAATACGTCTGATACTATTACTGATACATATTTAAATACATTTTTTAAATACATACATAATGAAACATCCAGTACGATATATTATGGTGAGGAGCTCGAACCTGCGACTATTGGTAAAACTGTAGGGTGATAAATTAATAAACCAACGACATTGTCTTAATCGTTTCAACATTCTTATCATGGTCTGACTTTCAATTCATTAAATATTAGAAATTTGCTATATTATTGCAAAATACAGAACTTTATTAATTAGAATTACATAAGTATCTATGTATTATTTTGTAGATTACAATATTTCTAAAAGCTTTGACTGAATATTGTGGAGACATTATACACGTATTCAGTGATCAAATGACATACGAAGGTCGAAATTTATACGAGGTAAGTAACAGAAGAATATAATTGCTACGTATAATGAGATTATAATAATAATATGATTGGGTGCACCCAAGGGCGGATTTACCTAAGGATTTTTTGGGCTGCAGCCCCGGGGGCCCCGAGGATATAAAGAGTCATAGTCCCCACTGAAACGATATATAAAATACTAGCTGTACCCGCGACTTCGTACGCGTAAAATAGTGACCTTGAGCAAATAATAAAAAATATATATTAATAATCTAACCCAATAAAAAAGTTTCATCGTTCTAGCTTCAAAAATGAAATTTCCATACATAATTCCATACAATTCAATCAACAGCCAAAAACTAAGTTTCAACTACTATCTTTAAAATGAAGATACTTCCATACATACCATACATACATTACATCTCCCCTTTCAACCCCTTATAACCCTTTTTCTTGTTTTTTTTAATGCTACTTATATTAGTGTTATCATGTACCAATGATAAGATGTCGCTATACTGTAACCATTTATGGCTGAGTCCTGTGGCGGTAGGTACTGATATTTTCTCAACAGCCTAAAAAATGGGTTTCAAGTTTCTAGCTTTAAAAAATGACAGTACATGCATATAACATTTTAACTCCCCTTTTGACCCTTACAACCCATAATACGCAAAAAAATAAGATTGAAGCTTAAACTTTTAAAAAATTCCTCTTTCAGTCTCTTATAACCCTTTTTAGCGTTAAAAAGTAACCTATGTCCTATCTCAAGATCTTGACTTTAAATTTCATTTAAATCAGTTCAGAAGTTTTGGCTTTTAAGACAGACAGACAGAGTCACTTTCACTTTCATAATATTAGTAAGGTATTATTAAATAAACTGACCCAACAAAGCGTAAGAAAAAAGCTTCATCGTTCTAGCTTCAAATATGACGAATTTCCATAAAAACTTTTATCTGCTATTTTATTTTACCCCTTGAATGGTGACAATGTGATATTTACAAATTTAAATGTCATATTTATTTATATTTAATAAACAGTTTAAACATTTCTTTAAATTCTTTTGTAAATTGGTGGTCCAGTTAGCCAATAACATAATAAAATTTTGTTAAATCAAAATAATAGATGTGATATTCTAAATTGCAAACTATCCCTCTACTTGTTACTGCGAACCATATCTCTGACTCTACTGGCCAGAATGTAGAAACGCGTATTCCGAACCTGAATAGCTCGGATGGAACGGTAGATGTTGTTTCTTCCAAGGAAATGTTGTTCATATGTATTGACAACATTTTTAATATTATATGTTGTTTTATTCTTCAAAAATATTAATAATATGTTCTTACGCTCTTGTCCAAGAGCAGGGTCATCAGTTATAGGCTATACCAGGATTATATTTATGTATTTATAAAATAAAATTGCAGAGCAAACGTTTATTCATTTAAATTCATAAGGAGACAATAGATTGACAATAATCAGTTGCGCGCGCAACTTATACAAATGACATATATGTTTATTTATGACATATGAGCGTTAATAAGTCGCATATCTAGTACAATACTGGTGTAATTCAGAAATTAAAAATTTTTGAAAATAGACTTAATACCACAATTATAAAGTAGACTTTCCAAAATATCTAATTTTTTATTTAAGCCATTATTATAATAAGTGTGTATTCAACCGCATAATGATAACCTTGCATTACCATTTTCAACCCCTTACAACCCTTTTTTCGCATTAAAAAGTAGCCTATGTCCTTCCTCGGCGTCTAGACTATATGGGTACCAAATTTCATTTAAATCAGTTCAGTAGTTTTGGCGTGAAAGCGAGACAGACAGACAGACAGACAGAGTTACTTTCGCATTTATAATATTAGTAAGGATAAAAAAATATCCAGAATGTTAAAAAACCTATAAGGTTGGCAACCCTGAGATCAATCGACCCATGCGGGTGTGCGTCTATCGAAAGGAATGGGGAATTACTGGTCGCTTGTTTTTGGTCTGTGTATTTTTTTAGTTGATTAATATAATTAGGTAGGCTCCTAAGCAGATTTAGCCCAGGGCCTCATAAATTCACGATCCGCCTCTGGGTGTACCCGCTTTCGCAAGAGATGTATGTTGGCGGGGCGCCAGTGATGGATGGTAGGATGAAAATGAAGTCAGGTCAGTCAGTCCATCGAGGTGAATTTACCAGGAATTCTTGAACCTGGATAGTTTCCAACAAATTAACCTGACATATCACTATATACTAATAGCAATGGAGTCACTATTAATAAAAATCCCCTCCCTAATAATTTTTGGTATTATACATATATCTGTATTCTTGGAATGATCTATATCTATATGTACATAATTTACTATAGTTTTCGTGGGTTTCCAAAAAGAGGTGAGACAAATTTATGCTAAGGATCCTAACGTTTATTTCCAAATCAAATCAAAACGTTTTTATTCACGTAAATCCAAAGATTAAAGTATTTTACTTTGTTATGTGAAACCTATTACAGTTATGCGTTTTCGCAACTCTAAATCAAGTTAAGGGAAATTATAGTTCCATTATTAAACATGCAAGTTTATTTCTTAGAACAAAACTTCTATATCTTCTATTGTTCACAAACTGAGTATCCATTTTCTAACAAATACAAGTAAATAAATAAATATATGTCTATCTGCCTATCTGTTACTTTTTACGGCTAAATAAATCAATTTTCATTAAGTATAACTGTTTAACTATTCTTAATAAAAAAATTATTAAGTGATGTGAAGATCGATATTATCGCTATCAGTAGATATGTAGTAAGCCGTAGGAAGTGGCATGTATGACATAATTTAATATTGAAAGATAAATAACATTTGAGAGTGTAGATTAGATTTACTACCCCAATTCCGTCCATAAGTCGAGAGTTAAAAACAGGCCATCAGAAAAAAATGATCATGAAATTATATATCTGACTGATTCTTTGGTGACTGCAACATCAATCATAAAATATACCACCCAAATATGGGCATGTCAAGTATTGTATTCACCACAACATCGATAATTAAAGATGCCTGTGAGTTCCCCATCTGGAATAACAATCATAACGTCACATTATACTTTTTTATGTTATAAATCCTTACATATTAAGTCGATAATGTTGACGATAATAAATATGTATATACTCATTCAATTTCATCAGGTTGTTATTAAGAGTACATATACGAGTACAAGAGATGACGATGATTCAAGACCAATATTGCTATTGGAAGCTGGCCAGCAAGGTGGAACTGAACCAGTGACCCTGGCACTATTCGTCATCGAGCAGCTCGTAGCTTGTGAGGAAAATGAAGAAATGATAGAAAAAGTTCGATGGGTTATTTTACCTAGCACCAATCCTGATGGACAGGAATACAATAGATTCGTAAGTATATGTATCAGAGTTGGACTTTATACCAAGTTATTAGCGTAGGTACCACCATTTTCTAATCCATTTAAGCTAGGTCTAATGAGGCTTTTTGTAAGATCTATTGGGAGGATAATAATAATAGTATATGGTAGTGAAGTTTCGGGGTACTGGGGGCATGAAATCTTAGTTCACTGGAATAGCAACGCATGAAGGGTATATAAGAAGTTACAGTTCTCGCTTAACACTACGTAGGCCATCAGCTTCTCTATTATAACTGTTACATAGAAAAAGTACACTTTGCTAATGACGTAAGTTTAATTATAAAGTTATAATTAGAAAACAACATTTCTATGTATATATGATAGAACACAAAAAAGACGTCACTCATATTAACACAAATATAAAACTAAAAATTAAGACAGGAGTAAAATTATATATTTTTATTATAAATTATTTTTTTACAGAGAACATGGAGAAAAAATCTTAGACTGTTCGAGGATGAATTTAGTGTTGGAGTAGATATATCGAGGAACTTTGAAAGCCAATGGGGATCGTGCCCTAAAGTACACAGTGGATTTTCACAAGTTTTCCCGGGTATAGCACCAGTGTCGGAAAATGAAACTCTTTTCATTAAGAATGTTCTCGTAAAGTACAAAAAAGATATAAAAGTGTATCTATCGATCAGACGTGACGGTCATGGCATCATGTATCCATATGGCTACACCAAGAATCATCCTACAAGTAGCGATTGGTCAGTAAAAGTAGCCGCGGATGTTGCCTCGAAGGTGAATCAGAGAGCGGGTGGTGTTAACTTGTTTCTAAACCATAGCATCTATGATTTCGAAGGAAAGGCAAGATGCGGGCATAGTGTCGACTACGCTCATGATCTCGGCATCCCTTTGGCTTATGAAATGCGTGTGTTTCTCGAATCAGATAACCTTATAATGTCCAAGTTCCAAACATTGCCGCGGGGCTACGAGGCCTCTCTCCGAAACGGGTACTACAGCGGTATTAGAGAACTTTACAACATCGTTATAAAAGAGAAGCAAAATGGCAGGGTGTACTAATAAATGTTGCTTCAGATAATGTATGAATCATTTAGGTATAACAAAAGTATATAAAAAGAAGGTGCATGAGACCACGACTTTGGAATCACTATTAAAAACTGAATTATGTGATTTAGATGGAGCATAAAACATCTTCAACTGGGTCAAAATTATGTACCGAGGCCGGCGGCATCTATTACGATACAATATTTATTTAGTACATAATGGTATATCTACGTTGGAGGAGTCACTTTTCCACTTTTCGGTAGGATGTCGGTCATGCGCGCTGGTGGTGGTATAGCGCGCTTGCGCTAGGGGTGGGGCCCGTAGCCGTTCAGCCCGCTGCCATTCTGTAGTCGGCCGCAGCGGCGGCGCCGCGCCTTGCCTTGAAGGCTCCTTGCCAACAAAGTCCTAGTAGTCAAACTCGAACTCAGCCGCCGCTCGCGCTATTTAATTCGAAACATTTTTGTTACTTCGTTTCTTATTTTCAATTACGCATTTGTTTTATGGTTGACATTTATTTGTAGAGTGAGTTTATATATTTTGAGTTGTTTTTGATAAATAATTGAAATGAAGAGGAGCAGAAAATAAAAATTTTGTTTGTTTTTCTGTAATTAATTTTGTGTATTTAAAAAATATATTCGTCGCCGCCGTCGAAGCCAGCCAGAGAAGAAGGTGGCAGAAAGAGGTGAGTATAGTTAATAAAATTATTTTCAGATTTTTGAGATCAGCGGAGCCGGAATAGAAATACTTGGTCGCCGGAAAAGCGCGGTGGCGATGGGCGGAAGGCGTTCCGACGGCAACAGGTTGTCGGCGAGCGGCGGGCGTTAGCAACCGCACGAAGACAGCTCTCCCGCCCGCTGACTTTCTCAATTCTATTAACTGCTAATAAACACCCCAGATAGAACCTTTTGCGCTAATTACCAGCCGGGGACTTATAATATTAAATTCTTGGCTCGTTCAGCGGAAATTCTGCTGAAATATTGCTTTTTATACGAAACGAGGGTAAAATAAATTGTATGGATTATGTTCTTTGGCGTAAAATTAATCTTGTATTGTATTTTTGGTAATTGGAACATTTAGTAGGTAAACAGAGCTCTGAAATAGTTAAACTATATAAAATAATTAACAGCATTATATCTATATTGATTTAGTATTTTAAATAGTAAACCGAGTTCGTGCTTATACGAGCGTCTTTAAATACACTAAAAAAGTTAACGGTGTATCTTCATCATACAGGGTTGTTATCAGAAGAACCTTATTAAAAGAAACCTTACAAAAATATGTACAATTTTGTTAAGTTATTTCTGTCATATAGTTCATTTTGTGAAAGAAAATAATAGAAAAAAGAATAATGACGTATATACTACGTTACTATTAAATAAAACGGTAAAAACATCTTTTGAAGGATATAAAATAGAATATTATTACAGAGTACGTCATACGAAAACCTTTATTATATAAATTACATACAGTTCGACTTCGTACGGGTCACAAAAATTTCTAAATAATAGTATAATTCGTAGAAAAATCCGTTAAATGGTTTAGAAGTGGTTAAAGCAGACATTAGACAAACAGATTTAGCAACTTATAAAATATTAAAGTAATTACATCGAAATAATATATTTACTAAAATTTATCAACCGAGACCTATGTATTTAAGTATAAAAACCATATTGCGAATCGATTTGTATAAACTAGTTATTTTGCCACGAGTTTACTTACGTGGTACAATTTAATTGCCGTTACAAAGAGAATTTTTAAAATTTTAAGCATAACTTTCTGATATATATATATATATATATATATATATATATATATATATTCCTTGTTTTAATGGTATTAAGAATAGGTTCACTTTATTATGGTTATTAGAATTAGATATAGTAAACCATATATTTTCTGTTTAAAATTACAATATAAACGATCACGAGAAAGGTTTTGAAAAGCTGCAATCGTGTCGGGGTTTCCTGGTTTTATTTCCAATTATTTTTTGTTCTTCTATTTTCCATTCTGTGGTTGTATTTATTTTTATTTGTTAAATATTCGATATAAAGTAATTCAAAGATAAGTTGTAGACACATCTTATGGGAATATTTCGTTATAAAAGGAAGGATATTGTTCAGGCCACGATAAAATAGATTTTATTGGAATTATTAAGAAAAACTCACAAACTACTAGTCAGATCTTGATTAAATTAATATTGGATCATAAAATAAGTACTAACTTTGATATAAAAAAAGAATATTTTTAAAAACGGTTTAAGTAGAAAAAAATACAGTCCCGTTATCCCGTTTTTTTTAAACTTTCGGTTAAGGTTTCGTTTCTTGGTTCCTCACGTTCTTCTACTTTCTACTACACATACTTCCACTATATTCTGTTACAATTAAAGAAAAGAAGGGCAGTTTTGTCAACTACTATGTAGCTTTGTTTTTATACTACGATGGTAGCAAACAAGCATAGTTCCATCAGGAACGTTATTTATTAATAATAATCAGAAATAACGATAAAAAAAAAATATTCTTTTATTTTTTAGCCGAAGATTTTGCTAAATTAAATCAAATAAATTTGCCAATTACGAACCGTTTTTTTAAATCACAGTTATTTTAAAATATTAATACCTAAAATTTGGGGTTTTTAAATGTTTGCAAGTTTGGCAATTTAAACCCGACTAATTCTATAATTAAAAAAATTAGACGCTTTCCTGTCCTAACGTTGTAACTAATTATTATTGATTGTAACATGTACATAGATAGCATTTTGTATGGAATAGGAAATATGCTAGCAAGTAAAATGAAATGTAGGTTTGATTTCCAAAACAGAAATTTTTTTTTCAATTTTAAGTATTCAAAATTATTAAAAACTGAGTTAAATAAATTTTCGAGTAATTCATCGCACTCCCTCAATTTGAAAACTGTCTGTATCGATTACAAAGTTCTAATTTCGCATCGTATCTGATGGGGAGCGTCCACACTATCTGTGGGGACACTCGTTCACAAAGTTTCGAGTGGTGATAAGAAGGGTATCGATCGGCCCCATTGCGTAGTCGCGGGGCGTACTAACACCTACACGATAAGATATGTATATGCGGGTACTTAAACGCAAAACATAATACCCACATGTGACTAAACTACGGTTGCACTCTTTATAGCAAATTTAGAATTGCTGATTACTTTTAGATTCGAAATAAATTAAATTTGTAATTTGTACCGACAAATAGATCGTTGGTATATTACAGTTACACGTCATTAACATCGGTTTCTAGTCAGGTATAAAAAAACACAAGGCACCATCAATAAGTTAGAAGTCTTATTGAATCATAAGACAGAACTGGATGCGCCCGTGACTATAAAATCTGTAATATTTATTCTGGATAAAAATATATATTCATTAACATAGTTTTGTTTGTGATATGATTAAAAATTACACAAACGCCCACGCAATCAGGCCAATATTCTAAAAATTATTTAGAATTATATGATGAGATAAGTACAACGAGTACAAATGTTTTTTTAAAATATATAATGCATATACTTAACGCAATTAAATGACCATTTAGCACGGTAGAATTTAGTAAAATATAGTTTTTTTAATAGAGGGTAATAAATAGGATATTAATAATATTGCACATTCTAGTTATATTCAAACTTTATTTTATACGTAGCAGACAGACTAACAAAATAATATCTATTTAATTGCAAACCATAAGAGACATCAATAAAATCTCAATTCAACCATATTTTACTTTTCATATGTCACATGACATCCTTGATAATACAAAAACTATTACGTTAGTTTTTTTTATCTGTTACTTCTACGTAATTGTTATGAGTTTTCAGTATTTTCCGTTACATTTTTACATTAAAGCCTTAAATTATAATCATTCTCTTTCCGCTTCTAAAAAACACAATTGGTTTAATTTAATAACGGTTTCCACTATAATTTCAAGAAAATCTTTGAGAATGTACTATATATAGTTTTACATACACATATATAGTTTTGCGCATATATTTTACACCAATGCAAATTCGAGGTGGGTTGCAAGAGCTTACATTTTTTTTCGTATTAGACTTTAGGAATTTATTAATTACAAGTAATTAATAGTTTAATTGATAGGAATATTATAAAAAAAAATATAATAGATATTATATGATTTTGTAACTTCGGCGCCCAACATGGGATTTTACATTATTTAAAAATCAAATTACAATGAGAGTTTTTGACAGGTAGGTATTGAAAAGATGGGCTATCGAAGTGTTATTTATTAATATGTAACAAAGCTATCCATGACACCATATTACACGAAAACAGACCTTGTTGGTTATGGAATTTAATTCGAGAAGTTACAATAGTTACTTAGTTGAGGACCCTTTTACTACAGAGATACTTCAAAGGGGTTTATGGGTCTGATATTTAATATAAATTGGATGGGGTCCTTAATTTATCATCCTCTGTTCTTATCTGTTAGTTGCTTTATAATTTTTATCTACCTGTTCATAAAATGAGATATCGATAAAAAAATATAAAAGTAAAGTATTGTCATCCACAAACATTAAAGTCCCCGGATATGGCAACGCAGGTCTACTTATCAATGGCGTAACAATGTCTTTTTTGAAGTTCTTGATATTATTTATAGGTATAGCAATACTGCTGCAGTTACAGAGCACACTGGCTATTATCCGCAACTTCGTTTTCGTTTATATAAAATATAATTTTAAAAAATGCCCATGTCCATCGTCGTGAATATATAAACCATCTCGTAAAATTTCACAAAGATCCGTTCAGTGACTGAACTGTCACTCAATAGGTGACAAAATAACATATGAGGATAATTTTGCATTTATAAGCTTAATATTAATAAACCGATGCCATAACTTAAAATACCAAATAACCTAACGACTTATTCCATTGAAAAGAAGAACCGTCGTTTTTTTGACATCAGTATTAATATCGTCCCTCATAGAATGAGAGATGATCATGATATCTATATTTACTATGATGACAAAAGTAAACTTGATCGC